CTCTCTCTCTCTCTCTCTCTCTCTCTCTCTCTCTCTCTCTCTCTCTCTCTCTCTCTCTCTCTCTCTCTCTCTCTCTCTCTCTCTCTCTCCTGGGCTATCGAGTTAGGAGGACGAGGGTAGGCAGTGAAGGGAGGAGGAAGAAGAAGGAAACCGCAGGGAAGACTTAAAACTTTGGCTATCATAATGGTGGATCTTCATCTTCACTTACCTGGTTGGTGCTGCATCGCGAAGGGCCTGGAGGTGACCAGCTGCATTTGGACTTCATCTGAGGAGACTAGCTATGGCGGTAGGAGGAGGGAGAATCATAGCATTAGTTGCATTGTCCATTGAACATCCATGCATTGCAGGAATGAATCGCTGTAGCTACCAGGTCAGCAACGTGGTGCAGAGAGAGAGAGAGAGAGAGAGGAAGAGGAGAGGATGAACTGAAGGGGAGTTCTTCCTTCAAGACATTAAGGAGGGACTTTCGGATATTATATTCTTGCTCATTCATTCACTCATTGTTATCATACTTCATAATAAAAGGGAGGATTTCTGTGAGGGATGATGATGACGATTGAGGCGAAGAAAAGAAGGGGCCTACTTCTTCTTCGTTGCTTCGTTCTCTTCTCTTTCTTTGCCTTTTCCGCCTCTTCTTGATTTGCGAGTTGCAATGGATGACATTCTCGCAAAAAAAAACAAGGCCCAAATCTGGCAAATAAAAAAAAAAAAAAAAAAAAAAAAAAGAAGAAGGACAAAAAACTTGAAAAAAGATTTGACCCAAATGGAAGGCAGTTCTGGGTGGGCGAGAAGAACAAATATTTACCTCAGCTGCCGCAAAGACATAGCCATACATCTCAGAAATCCATCCTTCTCCATAGATATCCCCTGTAATGTTGGGGGCATAGTGTTCCTTGTCAGCACGAACCTCTGTTGTCTTGGAGAGCCAGAGAGGGGCCAGCTGCCGCAAGTCAGAAATTTCAATTGCACAAAAGCCCCCAACCTTGTCACACACTTCTGATCGCTTATTGTGAAGCTGCCCAAGAATTGTCTCACAGCCAATCAGGTACCTGTCACGCATTAGGCCCCACAGAAATGAACATGGGGGTACTCACTCTTAGTCAACGACAGGTAAGGTAAAACTTGAGAGCATTCTCATTTTTTTCCCAGGTGGAAAACTCAGTTTGCAAAAAGCGAGACCCCTGCCATGGGGGCTATCAAGCATCACAGCTCATTGACACCTACCTAGTCATCCCTTTTCCTTTGTTTCTTTTTTTCGGTAAGGCCACAGAGCCCAAGGCTTTAAATTGGTGAATTGAGATAAAATACGATCGTATGATACCAGGGCCCTTGTCCGGGTTCGGCTTGGAAAAGGACTGGGGAGCCACCAGGCTGTTCTGATCAGTTTAAGATCCGATCTGTGGTTCATTGGGCCACATGATATTAAATTAATTTCTCAGGGTTACAGAGGGGTCACAGGGGAGGCTTGCCTAGGCAACCCATCCACTGTTGCCTTGAAAGAAAGAAAGAAAAATGTGTCCATTGTCCCATCAATCATGATCGTACACTATGATGATGTAAGATGATCCTCAAGGGGACGATGGGTCGTCTGACGTTGCTGTGCGGGAGCGCCAGTGGTGGCCGTGCTACCGGCACAGCTAACCCACCACCGCTGGACTGGGGCAGAGGGTACAATAGCGACTCGCAAGCCCCTGCTTCCATGGAATACCTCCGTCGCTGTCGTTTGTGCATGTGTGGCTGTTGTACATGGGGTCGGGCCCCGTCGGCGGTGGTGCCGATGCTCTGGGGTGTGAGGCGGACTGCACTCGGGCAGGCAAGTGATCGTGAGTGCAGAGCAGCACGGCTTTTGGCATGATGTGGGGGGACGCAGTGTCTCAACCAGACGGTAGAAGGTGGGGTGGGGAGCAGCATCCTTTTCTTTGTCCTCGGGTGCTGGCGGGCTGGGTTGTTCAGACCTATTCTCGGCTGGAGCAGCGGCCTCATCATCACACATCTTTCTGGCGTGTAGCGAGTTGATTATCCTATCATCATCATCTGAGATCGCGACCCTATGACACCACTGCTTTAAATTTGGAGATGAACTGTACCTGCAAGATCTTCACCTCCCCGCTTCCAATGTGTGAGCGTGAGGATGCCCAGGAGATCATCATCTCCGTGTTAGTGAATTGTGAGCACCATCATACTGTGGAGTTGGGTGGTAATGATAAGAGGGGCGGGCAAGCTCACAACCCTCTCTCCTTGGTGTTTCTCTTCCTCCTTTCCCTCCTCTTCTCCTTCCCCTCCTTGTTCTTCCAATACCCCTCCCGTTCCTGAAGCGTTCGTCTTTTTCCCTCCATCCCCTCTTCTTCTCCCTCTCGAAGGCGGGCCCGGTATCCCTCTGAGGTCCCCTGACCAATTCCCAGATATGTTTCCCCCGTCCGAGCTGGCACTGGTGTCATTGCAATGGTATGGCCATCAACAGGAGAGCAGTCGAGACGCAGAGAATGGCGTCAGTGCAATGGTGTGGCCATCAGTAAGCGGGCAGTCTAGGTGCAGAGAGTAAGGTTCAGTCAGGTCCCAGTGGTCAGAACAAGAAAGCCCCCCCAGCCCATACGATAACAGACCAGCAAAAGTTTTAGGGAGGGACGGGCGGGGCCTGCAGTCGTACCAGCAGGGCAAGAGATCTAGAAGAGGGCTTAGGGTTTAGGGTTTACGGTTCAAGGAGGGAGGGCTCAGATCCCACAGAAACTCTCAGAAAAACAGTTGAAACAGGGTACAACAAGCTACAACAAGACTGAGCAAAAGGGGCTAGCGAAAAAAGCAGAAAAGAGGCGCCCAGTAGCAGGGATGAAGAGGCAACCTGATGTTCACTCCCATCACCCGCTTCAGTTAATCCCCCGATTTCCAGGGCCAGTCAATGCTGGTGGGACAAAGATCTAAATATCAACATTCTGTAATGGGACGCTGGGCCCAATTCCCAGCAGGTGTAGCTCCCCACCAATGGAGCGGAGCAACCCGCGACTTGTACTGTGGGACGCTGCTTATATCACCCCCCCTAGTAAGTGCAGCCGGTTATTTGTTAAACAAAAAAGGGAAAAAAAGGGGAAAAAAAAAAGTTTCAATTTGCATACAAGTGGTGGCTATGGCTGCCTTCAACTCAACCCAAGTAAGCTCGTCAATCTCTCTCTTATCTCTTGTCCTTTTTTTCTCTCTGATATAGTCACAGCTATGGTGCCCTACACAATTGACTACGCTAGGGTCCCAAGCAAGTCGCACTCGAAGCAAGTAGCACAAGTGTTTTCCAGGGGCAATTAGAAAAAAGAGTGTTCACCCCGTTCCAGTAAGCGCGCTATTTTCGCGCTATTTTCGCGCTAATTTGCGCTAAGTTTTTTCGACCTTGGGGCCACGCAAAGCAGATGAGCACGGAAGCGCTGGCAAGCACACGCGCCATCGCGCGTCCCTTCGTCGAACCAAGACGCCTTCCGAACTCATGATCCCATGAGAAGAGAATACGCTACCACGTAGCACTCCATGCCACGCCCTAGGGCGTGGCGCAGGTGAGCAAAGGACAGAGGTGGGGTAAAGAGGAGGGAAAGCGGATCGCGGGGTAAAACAGCAGGAGGGAGATAGACAAGAAGGGAAAGAGGCAAGAAGAGTCTGAGGAAGGGCAAAGAAGAGAGAAAGGGGAGTGGGGCTATTAACAGCGGAAGGGAGACAGACAACGGGACCAAACTCGGCAGGGAGAAGGGAGTGAGGACAGAAAGAGGGATAACATCGAACGGGGTATACCAGTGGAAGGGAGACAGACAAYGGACAGGAGAACTTCCAAAACGGGGAGTTTAGAAGTGTGGGCGAGAAARGGAAAAAAGGCGTCGAAAGTGGCACAAGGCAACAAGGAAAAAGCGAGCAGCRAAGACTGCCCCCGAACGGAACGAAGTACGGCCAATCAGAACAAGGAGCCAGAGTTAAGAAATTACGCATGATGAGAGGTAAGATCGTTCCTCTCAACTAACGGTAGCTACAAGCAAGGAAGGACCAGAAGATCCAGGAGCTCGTGCAAGAAGGGAAAAGGACAACGC